GTGACTTTATTTTACTCCTGGTATCTATCACATTGCTTGGAACCTAATAGATTCTCAACAAATTGGTTGATTAAATGAAGAAAAGAATGGGTAGAGAAAGTTAAAGGAAAAGAAAAATTGCTAAAGTTGGCCATTTGAGAAAAGCAACTCTTTCATAAATGGATAACATATAATGAAAAAATGTCCAACATAAATTAAAGGATCAGTACCAAGAAAAAAGGAAAAAAGAATCTATTTCCTTTATCGCAAAAAATTACTCTTGAAAGTGAATGTATAGAGTTTCTGCCCACAATATACTGAGACTATATTTATTCATGTAAATGCACAGGATATAGTATGCATTCTTTCAAAAATCCTGTAGAAGCGTAGTGTCACTGCAAAAATATCATTAATACAGCTGAGTACTCTAATGCAGTTTTCATATTGAACACCATTGTATATCATTTTTGCCCTTGAGATAAAGCTAAATATATTAATTCTAAAACATACATAATACACGATTACTGGAGTTTTATAGCATAAAAACACAGTTATAGCATAGTATTAAAAAATCTACATAATACAAAGCACTAATATAGAATTACTTGAGAATAACATATCAAGCATATTTTCAGTAGTCTGATTTCAGAGAACAAACAACTGAAATTAAATATGTATCCATTTGAAAACTCTATTAAAATAGTACAACATAAAATTGTATTTTCAAGTATGGAGTTGCAAAGTGAGAGTGCTTATTATACCTGTAGTAATTGAAGTTAAAAATAGTGAAATATTCTATGCATCTATCATAATATTTATTTATAAATGTTCATATAAATTACTGAATTAAAATACAACCCAATATGAATAATCTACCTTTTTGATTAATAGGAGTTTTAATTACCAGTATTCTTTAATTTGGAACACTTATATTATACTTGATAAAGAGTCTCAAAAATGTCAGTTAGAATGCTTTTTGCTTTTTATATATTATTTCTGACTCTGTATTATTGTAAATATTTTTTAAATCCTTACATTTTACTTAGTCTCTTTTTTTAAGCTTGAAACTCTTCATATTAGGGCAAATTACATATTTATTGTAAACAAATTTTTTAAATTAATATACAGTGATATTGAGATTCTGTGGCAAGGTTTATATGAAGTTTTAGTGCACATATAGACACATGTAACTACAACCACAAACAGGATATAGAACCTTTCCATCACCCCAAAAATCTCACTTGTTTAACCCGCTAAAATCACACTTTTTTTCTATCCTCAATGCTAGCAACCATTGATCATCTTTCTTGTTATAGTTTTCTCTTTCCATAATCATATGGCATGCAGTCTTTTAAAATTGGCTTCTTTCTGTCAGCATAATGTCTTTGATATCTGTCAGTGCTGTTGAATGTTAGTAACAGTTTCCTTTTATTGTTATGTAATATTCTATAGTATGAATGTACTATATCCATACATTAGGCATTCACTTATTGAAGAATTTTTGGAGTGTTTCCATTTTTATTTTTTGGAGGGGGGTAATTTTACAAATGAAGTTGCTATAAACACAGGTTTAAATCTTTTAAGAGTAAATACCTACAAATGTCATTGGCAGAACATTTTCCATTCTCATAAGGATTGTACAGGAGTTCTGGTTGCCCTGGATCCTTGCCTACACGTGATATTGGTATTGTCAGGGTTCCTTTTTTTTTTTTTTTTAATTATAATGTGTAGTAATAGTTCATTGTGATTTTAATTTTAATTTTCCTAAAGGCTAATGTTTCTTTTCATTTGCTTATTTTTCATGTATCCTCCTTTGAAAAGTGTCTTTTGTCACCTCTTATCTATCTATATTACTTGTATTCTTATTATTGAGTATTGACAGTTC